ATTGCACCAGCCCTATTGCACAGTTATTGAATAAAATGACTTAAGTGCACCTTTGTTGTGCGGATTTGTTCAAAAGTGCAACAGAAGTGAGCACAACAGTATATATCTGTTACTCTTAAAGTGTAGTAGTAGTTATTTAATTAGTGCTTACTTTTCCCCCTTGCTATGTAATTCCTTACATCTTACTTCATATATTTGATGTCTTCTGTCTATATATATCAAATGTATAAAGTAGTGAATAAATTAATGAAATAAAAGATGGTGTGTCCAAATTTGACTGGGTATATCTGCAAATATGTCTTGTCTTACAGATATCTGCATATATAACATAGATATGAAAAGTTTCTGTGAAAAGTACACTAAAGTTTCTAATCAGACTTTTTGTTTTGGGAGTCAGTAAGTGGCTGCCCAATCACATTCTCTTTTTGCAGTGACCTCCAGTTAGCAGCACATTGTTTGCTTGAGTGGCCAGCTTAATCTGTGTTTCACTTTTGATAGAGTTTGAAAGAAAGAGAAAGAAGGTTAAATAATAAATAATGGGATTGTTATTCAAAGAGGAGCAGTTTGTTTGTTACCGAAATTGTCTCCCAGAATTCAGATGGGCCGCTCATTGTCCGTCTGTATCACAACAAACATGGCTGCTCATGAAGAAAATAGAGAGGAATGAATATCACAAGAGACTGGAAAACACTGCAGATTTGTGCAGAATTAATGAGCAAAGTACTAGATTTTTGTTAAAAATCATAGATGACCAATGAGCAGCTTTGTTTCATATGCATCACTGAAATAAACAAATTGGATTGCACTGCGGTGGTAGGTGAAATGGCCAAAAAAAATTTAAATTACATCACAATCTCAATTTTATCATTATTATGTTATTAGGTTATTTTTACAGACCAAGAGTTTGTTTTCATACCTAACAGTTTGGACTGCTCACTAGCGCTCTTCCTCAGAGTGGTCACGTGATGTTGCTGTGACGTGTCGGTCAGCTGATTTAAACAGGTTTTGTTGCTGTCTTCCTACCGCTGGAGGCAGGATGACAGCGCCATCTGCAGTCCCACTTCCTCAGGACAGTATCCCAGGTGTGTGAAAGTAAAAAAGCCCCCTCCATATTTCAATTGGAAGAGGCAATCGAAATATGGAAACGTGCCCACGGGACTATAAACCGGGACAAGGGGCTTTTTTACTGGGATAGTGTCCTGAGGAAGTCGGACTATGGAGCTGTCATCCATAATCAACTCTTGAAAACAAACTCTTGGTCTGTAAAAAAGAACCTAATAAGACCAAATGAATCTCATTGGAGTATCAGTATCAGTATATCGACTTGAAAAATTAAACAGTCTTCTGCTTGTCCCAGATCTCCTATCACGATTGGTTAGCCCCACCTGTCACTCACTCACAGTGCATTGCTGAGGTCAACCAATAGGAGAAGTGGGTGGGGGCAAAGAGCTACATTCAATAATAAATTAGTGAGTCACAATATGATGATTTTTAGGGATGCTGGTGTCTGATATTGGCGCCGATACTGAAATAGTTGCTGGATCGTATATTGCATTGTTTCCCAAAGGCTGGGTCGCGACTCTTAGGTGGGTTGCAAGAGATTTTTTTTTTTTTTGGGTCACCTTAATGTAGGTCTGCAATATGTATGTACAGATCCATGCACCCCCGCTCCTCACGTCTTCTTCGTGCACCTCGCTCCTCACTTTTTCTCCCTGTCCCCCGCTCCTCACTTCTTCTTCGTGCACCCCCATTCTTCACTTCTTCTCCGTGCACCTTGCTCCTCACTTCTTCTCTGTGCACCTTGCTTCTTACTTCTTCTCCATGCACCTTGCTCCTCACTTCTTCTCCGTGCACCTTGCTCCTCACTTCTTCTCCGTGCACCTTGCTCCTTACTTCTTCTTCGTGTACCTCGCTTCTCACTTCTTCTCCATACACCCCGCTTCTTTGTGCACCTCGCTCCTCACTTCTTCTTCGTGCACCTCACTCCTAATTTTTTTTCCATGTGCACCTCGCTCCTCACTTCTTTTCCGTACACCCCAATCCTTACTTCTTCTTCGTACACCCCGCTTCTTTGTGCACCTCGCTCCTCACTTCTTCTTCATGCACCTCGCTCCTCACTTTTTTCCCATGCACCCCTGCTCCTCACTTCTTCTCCGTGCACCCCGCTCCTCACTTCTTCTCCGTGCACCCCACTTCTTCTCCGTGCACCCCACTCCTCACTTCTTCTTTCTTTGTGCACCTCGCTCCTCACTTCTTCTTCGCACACCCCTACTCCTCACTTTTTGCCTAATCAGTTTCTGTGATAAACACTGATTACTGTTTTTCCTTGTTCAAAACTTGAGGACCGTATTTTTCAGACTATAAACCACACTTAAAATCCCTTCATTTTCTGAAAAATCAACAGTGAGCCTCACAATCTGGTGCATTTTATGTATTAATTGTGGTTGTGCTTACTGACCTCAAACCCATTTTCACATATAATCCACTGAATTATGTCCTTTAGTCCAACAGAAGCTGACCACATCAGTGCACAAGGAGCGAGCTGTTTATGCAAATTAGTCACGTGGTTTTAAGTTTCGTATCTGTAAAATGAAAACAAATGTGCGCTAAGCTGCTAATGTCTATTGATTTGGAGCGCAAAGATATGTGACTTTTTATCCTAGTATAAAAATCGATGTAATAAGACATAAACTGGTTAGAACTGGCTAAGAAAATGTCATAATGTTTGAACTTTTATCTATACAAAGTTGTTCGGCTACATAACACATCTGGATCAGTTTTGTCTTATTAGATTTCTGTTTAAAGAAAATAAATGCTGTTTTCAGTCTCTGCATTGATATCGATTGTTGCCGGAAATCAGCAGATACTTAAAGCTGTAGTATCGAAACTGAAAAGGCTGAAAAAGGAATGAGGTCACGGTTTGACTTTTATCACCTTATTGCCCGGCGCTATTGCACGGTCATGTTTGGTTCTGGCTCGAGGCGCGACGGAGGGCGTGGGGACCAGGCTGATATCCCTCTGTATAAAAAATACAGAGATATCACTGTTGACCTGTAAGGCAATAAAACTAATCTTACAAGTAGAACTCTCACCTAGCCTGGCCTCAGATGCCAGGGAGAGACCTCAGATAGCTTCTGAGAGCACATTTGCTGTCTGTATAAACCCACTCCCATGCCACCTCTCTTTCCCACTCAGGAGTGATTAAGGCTTTAATCCAGGCTTATTGTGGCTTTGTGAATGATCTTTGGGCTCTTTCCAAATGATTATGCAGGATATTTTCATAATTTGAGCTGTGAAAGAACAAGAGCTATTCAATATTGTGAATGGTAGAAAAGGGTTGATACTTTTGGCTATTAAGCGAAGGAGCTGGGTACTTGGAGGTACTTTGGCTTGACTTCTAACCTGAAAGTAGTTTGATCCCTGTTACCAAGATTGGGTGCTGGTGCTGTCGGTGGAGTGTCTCTCGCTGATGGAAATTCACAGTCAAAAGTTATTAGAAAGCTCGGAATAAATGTGCTCGGTGCCTGCAGTGTTGCGGTGTGTTTTTCTTATTTAAGTTGACGGCTGTCAGTTGATTGAGATATGTAGCTGTTCATTACTCACCGCTGACACCCAAACAGTAGATGCAGTAAGAAACAAATTAGTTGGCTTTCAAATTTTAGAGACGTATTTGGCAATGTATAATATCTCAATCTCAGATATCTCAAAACTATAACGTATCTCTTTGTATCTGTCCCAGACGATACTCATAAGACTATACCTGCGAGCGAGTTGATGTAAAAACAACTATTTATGTGGAGAAAAGTGCTACAAATGTGACAATGTATTCAAATAAAAACAGATTAAATTTTCTGCCTTTTTGCATATAAATACCAGGAAATACTAGCCTGATTCACTTGATTTCACTTTGTAGAAACCGTCTGAGTTCACAGCATTAGAATTCATTCATTCGACAGTAGGCGGGTACTTTTTTTATTTAACCAATCGCTGCTATTTGGTCATGACGTATGTAATGGGGCTGACTGGTATATTAAACCCGTAGAAAGAAAGGCAATAACGTCTTTCCCCTTGATAAAATTCTCCCTACATTCTCTTTGTTCCAACTTTAAATACTCAATCTCGGGAATCGTTGACAACACAGAATGTTTGGCTCTTCGCTGATTGTTTGGTGCCCGAACTCCCACTTCCGGGGTTTTTGTGAACCGTCTAGTGCACGGGTGTCAAACATAAGGCCCGGCGGCCGGATCCAGCCCTCCAAGACCTTTAATCTGGCCCTCGGCTGATTTTCTACTATTTAAATTATATTTTCTTTTACAATATTGGTAATTTTCTGCGCCGCTTAACATAGCACAAATGAAGACTTGTCTCTTTCCAAACTCGTTTTGACTGTTGACTGTGACACCCTCATCAGAAAAATGTCAAAAATGAGAAAAGTGGAGCTGAGTGCAGAATTTTCCAAGAAAAACTGACTTATTCCTATTTACATACAAGTTAATGTTAAAACATTGTGTTGAAATTGCATTTTTCTTAAAGTTTCAGGTTGTTCATATTATTATAATATTTTGTAAAAGAAAGAGTTCATCAATTAAAAAAGATTTCTGTAATAGATTTGCGCTTCTCTGCACAAATATATGAACTTATTGCTATTTTTGGGGTTTATATGCCATGAGTTTTCTGATCCGGCCCCTTTGGGATCAAAGTAGGTTGGATACGGCCCCCGGACCAAAATGAGTTTGACACCACTGGTCTAGTGTATTCAGATTCCTGACCGAGTCGCTGGAGAGAAATGAAATTGAGCGAAGGCACTAGGTCTTACCGTCTTCAGCTAACTCACTCTTTCCACTCCTTTCTGCTGTTGTCCCATATAAATCCATAACAGTATTTTCTGATCTATGTTTTAAGTTGTGTTTTGTTTCATTCACACATGTTTAACACACAAACCCAGCATATTTAGGCTGAGTTCTTGTCTCAGAACAGAAAACACTCTGCTCCACCTTGTGATGTCATTTGGTAATACAGATACTACTGTAACACTGTGGTTTTAAACTTCATACACCTTCACTAGAATCATTTGGATTAATTCAGCCCTGAAATAGGCCATCTCTACGGAACTAAAGCTGTTAATTTGAGAACTACCACTACATGACATCAGAAGGTGGAACCGATTATTTTGAGCTTTGGAGATGTAGACAGACTAATAATAAATGATTAATCAAACATGTGTGATTTTGTGTTATATAGGCCCTTTAATCAACTAAGGCAAATTTTGTTCTTGCCCTAGAATCGTCCAAATATTGTCAGTGGGATAATACAAAAAACATGACAAGAAACATTCATTTTTATCAATTCCACCCACAACATTCGAGTATTCTGACATAAAATTGTAAAATTCTCTTCATACACCACACAGTTTTTTTTTTTTTTTTTTTTCAATGCTTTCTTCAGCTTTCATATTTCACCTTGAGTTCTTCTTTGAATTCCATTAAAAACATAACCACAACAATCGTCTAGCATGCCCCTCCAGACGCTAACTCCCATCCATAATTCATCACTCGGAGTTAACATCTATATTTTAAATGCCACATACCAGCGAGCATCTGTCGTCGCCTTATGCTTCAGGAAATACAAATACATTACAAACAACCGCATTGACAAACTTTATCTTTTCTTCTCTTCCCTTAGGTCCGCTGATGTGTGACGGGCGGCTGGCTCACCTGCTCCTCCCTCTCCTTCTGCTCCTGAGGGCCCCGCTCCTCCACAGCTTCGGAGAGCGCACATGCCCCAACAACTGCCGATGCGAGGGGAAAACCGTGCACTGCGATTCCTCTAGTTTGCTGGAAGTCCCCGAAAACATAACTGTGGGGTGCCAAGGACTTTCTTTGCGCTACAACGAGCTGCATACTTTGCTGCCCTACCAGTTCGCGCATCTCGGTCAACTTCTTTGGATTTACTTGGATCACAATCAGATATCCGCCGTGGACAGTAGAGCGTTCCAAGGAGTTCGCAGGTTAAAGGAGCTCATCCTTAGCTCCAACCGGATCACGTCTTTACACAATTCCACTTTCCACGGGATTCCCAATCTTCGCAGTTTGGACCTGTCCTACAACAAGCTGGAGGTGCTTCAGCCGGGGCAGTTTCACGGTCTGAGAAAGTTGCAAAATCTTCATCTTAGATCGAATGGCCTCTCTAACATTCCCATCCGTGCTTTTTTGGAATGTCGAAGTTTGGAATTTTTGGATTTAGGCTACAATCGGATCAAGGCGCTCACCCGAACCACGTTTTTGGGTCTTCAGAAGCTCATGGAATTGCATTTGGAGCATAACCAATTCTCGCGGATCAACTTTTTTCTGTTCCCTCGACTAGCCAATTTGAGATCTCTTTACCTGCAATGGAATCGTATCAGAGTGGTCAACCAAGGTCTTCCGTGGACTTGGTATACCCTTCAAAAGTTGGATCTTTCTGGTAATGAAATCCAAACGTTAGACCCGGCTGTTTTCCATTGCTTACCCAATCTCCAAGTTCTCAATTTGGAATCCAACAAGCTCTCCAATGTCTCCCAGGAAGCTGTTTCGGCTTGGATTTCCCTGACTTCGATCAGTCTTGCAGGCAACATCTGGGATTGCGGGCCTGGCATTTGCCCCTTGGTCGGTTGGCTGAGAAATTTCCGCGGAACTAAAGACACCACTATGATCTGCAGCAGTCCCAAGTATCTCCAAGGGGAAAAGATCATGGAAGCTACCAGGAACCACGGCATCTGCGAGGAGACCGATTACATTTTGACGGAAACTCCCTCCCCGATGTCGGAACTCATTTCGGAAGCGACTGCCGAACCGACCTTCGCGCCTACGAGTGGTTTTCCGCCGATGGCACCTACCGACGTGTATGACCCTTTACCGCCTTACAGGCCTAGACCCATCCCCAACCCAACTGTCCCTGGACACATGAGCAAGAACCCTAGAGACTCAATGCCCCGTGCGAGATCGACCTTACCACCGCCTCCGGAATACGAACACATGACTCTGCACAAGGTGGTAGTTGGCAGCGTGGCACTGTTCTTCACCATGTCTCTCATTTTGACAATAGTCTATGTCGCCTGGAGGAGGTACCCGGGGGCCACCAGGCTGCTCCAGGAGAGGTCCGTAGTGGGTCGGAAGCGGCGCAAAAAGAGTCCAGAACCGGAGCAGAACCTCAGCTCCCAGTTGCAAGAGTATTACATGAGCTACAACCCCGCGGCCAGTCCGGAAGCGCTGGAAGTGCTTGGGAACGGCACGGGATCCTGCACTTGCACGCTGTCCAGATCCAGGGAGTGTGAGGTATGACCCGTCGCATCCCCCTCAAAAAAAGTTAAATCTGAAAAATGACAATGCAAAGATTCGACAAAGAGGTAATTGTTTTATGAAAGTAATGTGATGTCTTTGTGACTGAGCTTTGGGTGCTTTCCAAGTGATTATGCAGGATATTTTCATAATTTCCGCTGTGAAAGAACAAGAGCTATTCAACATTGTGAATGTAAGAACAGGGTTGATACTTTTGGCTATTAAGCAAAGCAGCTGGGTACTTGTAGGTACTTTGGCTTGTCTTCTAACCTGAAAGTAGTTTCATCCCTGCCAAGACTGGGTGTTTGTGTTGTGTTGTTGTGCAAGGTATTTCTTCCCACTTACATTTATGATGTAATTGGGTATGTAGTGGTGGCCACTAGGTTGCATCATTTGCCCAAGTTTTTGAAAAGTTTTTTAAAATAAATCTATACCTAGTATTTTTTTTTTTTTACAGTTGCCAAAGTAAACTTCCATGAGAAATTTTATGAAATTCTCTTGATGTGTACTGGGTCCAAAAAGCATCTGAAGTTTAGTGCCTGCAGAAGCCTTAAATCTGATCTGAAAAATCAGTTTTTCTTTAATAACATAAAAAAATAATACATTTAGCACTATAGTATCAATGGAAGTTGAATAGAAATATGGACATTGTGTATCATTTGGTACCAGTGTCTCTATCATCATTAGTTTCTGAGATATGGCAAAAGTGTAATTTATTTGGCACTTGAAAGGACCTTGAACAATCAACAAACTGAATTGTAACAAATGCAGGGCCTACAACACTTGATGTAAATTTCAGTTAACAAATTTAGAACTAAAAAACTTGAAACTGTGAAAAGTAAAATCTTTAATAAAGGTATTATGATATTCTGACTGTCCGTTCTCAACCCTGTACACTGGCCACAGTGCACAGAATAGCAGCCGTGTTCCCAACAGTCTGCCCCAGGGCAACTATAGCGGCTAAAGTAGTTGCAAAGACAAATGGGGTTATGATGAAGTAAATCCAGTACTTTCTAAATACTGGACAATACTAGGGTTGTCAAAAGTGTGAGAAATCAGATACTAATTTGTACTAAAATAGTACTGAAACTTAATAGACTCATTTGAGCAAGAATTGATACTAAAAAATAATATTTTAGAATGCTTAGAATAGCTTTAGAATGATCTTGAGCTGTTTCAGAAAAAGTATAACAACACATAAACAGGTTTTGTAAAAGTAATGTGATGTTGAACAGGACTGTTGAATTGTATGTGAATATAGTGTGAGTTAAGGACAGACATGCTGGTTATTTGTGTGTTAAGATATTTTTGACAAATTAAGAGAAATGTCAATCTAGGGTAGCAGGAGTTTTATTTTTGCTTTTCTACTTTGTTGCTGATGCTGAAATTGTTTGACTTTAAATGTGCACTGTGATTGCCATCTCGAGTTTGCTGTGATGAAGGCAGAAAGGCTGAAACGCGTTGGCGTGACTTTAACTTTATCTGCCATGTGGTATTAAAGGCTTTTCATTATTTTGTACTTTTTGAGTGCCTCAGCTTTTACAAGTCTATGTATGTTTTTAGGAGATAACAACATTTTAATATGGCATAATGCTCATAAGAGTCAATTTTGCGTGATATAGAAACTTTAAACTGTTAAGTGCTATGGCAACGGTCCAAAATTTTCATTATTCTGAAACAAATGTCCACTTTCAAATCCAAATCCACAAATGCACATTTTACAAAGCAGTTTCCAAAGTGCTGTACAGAGAAGATAAAATGAAGACAACAAAAAGTAAATTGCTAATATTTCGTCATACCAGTCCTAAAACAATTAAACCAGTCAAATTATAAAATAGCAGTAAATAAGTAAAATTTATGAAATAAATAAAAGATATAGAGGACCACACAACTCACGCCAGAGAATAAATGTGGGTTTTAAGACGAAATTTAAAACACTCCACTGTGGGGGCTGTTGGGACGTGGGGGGGGCAGAGCATTCCAGAGTTTTGGGGCCGGCCATAGAGAAAGCTCCGCCCCCCTTTGTTTTAAGTGTCGTTTTAAGTTCCACAAGCTGGAGCTGGCCCTTGGACCTCAGGGTGCACACGGGGGAGTAAATCTGGAGGAGGTCCGAGTCGTACTGCGGGGCTAGTCTTTTCAAAGCTTTAAAAACAAACATTAAAATCTTAAAGGTTGTATGGAGGATTTTTTTTTGTTTCAAATTGTCAGTGAAAGTTTAAAATACCATTACAGAGATGCAGCAGCCTTGTAGTTATGATGACCAAAAAAAAAACAAAAATAAGAATGAAAATCTACCAACTGTGGACATGGTGGGGCCAGAGAAACATCATAGATAATGAGGCTACCTTATTTTCTATTGGCTGTTAGGTTGTCAATCAAACTCTCTACATTTCTAGTGTAACTGACTCACGGCGCGCGGGAATTACGTGGTTTATGCAGAAGTTCTTAGAGGCTTTTTCAAACTGGAGCTTCCTCGCAATTCGCACAAAGTTTGTTGCGATGCCGGACGAGAATCCACGACCAGTTCGCCGCAAAAGAAAGTCTGTTTTTGAGGTCACTAAGAGAAGTCAAAAAGGAGCAAAGCCTGAGGTGATTCTTGGAGATCTCTTCCAGCGATGCCGCGACTGAAGCAGACAAAGGGTCTAAAAAGTGATGCATCGGTCGTTAAATTATTTCTAGACAGGTCACATCAACATTCTACTGAGGGAGCTGTGGAGGAGGGAGGTGGTGTCACGCACGCGCAACATTTGAAAAAGGACTGTCGCTGTATTTCTCTTTCCTTAAAAAAATCCTCTATACAACCTTTAAAATCAACTCGAAGCCACAGCACACACTCTAAAATCGGAGTACTGCACGTGTAGAAATATTTAGAAGCTTTTAAAATGAGAGAAGTATGTTAAGTAGGATTTGTCATTGTTCTAAAAGTCTTATCTGATCTAATTGTCATGTTTTGTTTATGGAGCTTTAGCACTGTCATCTTTAACTGTAATCCAGCTGTCAGCTTACTTCCTTCGCAAAGTATCTACAGTCTTTGTGACGTGATTTGAACTTCTCCAGTGTGATCTCCATGAAGATAGAATGTTTAATGGCGTAGTTTAAAAAATTCCAGACAAAGCAATAACATCATCATGTAGAAAAACATTTGTCGAACCCTCCACCAAAAAAGTTACACAATGCACCTCTAAAAGCATCAACTGAAGGGGCAGTTGTAACGTGAAGGGAAAGAGTGTTCCAAAATTTGAGGCCGATTATCAAAAAGGCCCAGTCGCTTCGGCTTTTGAGTCTTGTCATTATCAAACAGTGCTTGAAAAAGATCGCTAGATTACTCAAATGCGCAGCTGTCAGCTTCCTTCTTTAGCAAACTATCTACAGTCTTTGTGATGTGATTTGAATTTCTCAGTGCAGTTTTTTTTTTGTTAGATATCCACACTTGGGTACTTCCCCTCTCCGGAGCGTGTTTGATCATTCATTGGTTTCACAAAGAGACAATTTCGGATGGTGAGTGTGCTGCCGAAATTGCACTGTGAATGGAGATAGGAGAAGAATCACATTTGAATGTGAATAGGCCTACAAACCACTCCAGTGAAATATGTTGAATTGTCCCAAATTTGTTTGGACGTCTGTAATTTGTTAGTGTTCACTGATTTGAATAGTTTTCGCAAGTAGAAATGTGGCTTTATGTGGCTAATTTACAATCTTTTATAAAAGTATGAAGTGCATCCTGAATGTTAATGTATGTTTCCAAAAATAGCACACTAACTTATAATAACTATACCTTCATTTGCCTTGGCTTGATGAGTTGACAAAGCCTGAAGCGTTCTATATAAACAATTTGCTCATTGTGGATTCAGCTTTTGTTCATGCTTTATTAAAGAGGGGGTATTACAATTCTATGGGGTTTTAGGCCTTATGTTAAAGGTGCATTGTGTAACTTTTCTGGTAGAGGGTCTGTCAAATCCTTTTCTCCACGGAGATATTACCGCTTTGTCTGGAATGTTTCACAGTATGATATTAAACCTTTGTATCTTCATGAAGACCAAGTTACAGGTGGAGAGGCGACCCCACTCACAGTCAGAATGTTTGTTTTTCAAGGTATTTTTAAGCGATAAAACCTGCACCTGTAATTGAATAAATGTAAAGTAGAGCTGTTTAATGTCATACTGTGGAACATTCCAGGCACAGCAATGACATGTCCATAGAAACAAGCAAACAAAAAGTTGCATATGTTTTATTGTTTTGAAAAATGCTAATCTTGTTAAAATGTCTAATTAAAGCATCAAAAACAAAACTAAGCCCCTGTTCTCCTTGTTCCCCACACTAAGTGACCATGTGTTCGATTATCTTCTGACTCCCACTTGGAGCTCAGATTTGACGTCACGTCTGAGCTTGAAGCGTATTATTATGTTTCATGTGTTGGACCACGTGGATTATGATTATGACTATTTCCCTCATCTTATGAAAACCCTGCCACTTTAATTTAAATTTTGAAATTTGTACTTCATTTTATGTTAAGATTTTGGTAACACTTTATAATAACTCCACCTTATTTAGCCTTAATAAAGCATGAACAAAGGCTTAATTAATAATGAACAAAGACTTAATTAATAATGATTCACGCTTAGTAACTACTTAATTACTACCTTAATTCTCACTTGCACTTAATCTGCCTGTGCTGTAAACAGTTACTCATAATTATTTCATACTTAATTACTCATGAACTAACCTTTTGAGCATTTATTAATCATTAGTAAACTATAAGAGAACGATTTACTAATAATGCAATGCAATGATAATTCAGGCTGTTAAGTCTTTTTGAGAGCTTTTCTAAAGTGAAGACAAAGTATTTACTAAGCGTGAATCATTATTAATTAAATCTTTGTTCATTATTAATTAAGTCTTTGTTCATGCTTTATTAAGGCTAAGTAAGGTGTAGTTATTATAAAGTGTTACCAAGATTTCTCTTCCGTTACAACCTTAGGGATGTAAATGCCCGTTAA